CGGCGGGCGGGCTGAGCCAAAAGCCACGTCCTCAGCAGCCGCCGGAATTGCAGAGAGGCAGGCGGAAGAGGGAAAGCGGGGACCGGAACAGAGGAAGTTTAGCGCTGCTCAACTTCCCATCTCTCACCACGCTCGTGCCTGAATGGATTCGCCCATCTGGGCTTTAGGAAATGGCGTGGGGCAGCGCCATCTATCGGCCTACATGTGGCTCGCTTCTCTCCTGGATTGATGCTCGCAGTATTTCTGCCCATTTTCTCGGAAGCAGATTCTCCTGACCGAGTTCTTCAACACTGTTACGGCACATTCTTGCTCCTTGCAGCCCAGTATTATTTAGTTGGCTGTGGGTCTTATGTTCAGTGTGGAAATCTATGGCCTTCAAATATTGATAGATCACAGTTTCCGTCATCTGCAACCGCCTTGGTTTATATCCTTGTAACCTGTGCTTGAATCAGAAGCTTTCCACTGGCAAAATACTTGGCCTGGCTGTGGGGTGTGGCTTCTCCCCAGAATTCACTGGGTTCAATTAGAGTTCTCAGATAAATAAGGCACAATGTTGTAATCTAATAATAACTCACAAGCAAGCCTAAAGAGTTGGGTGGAACAACTTGACCCCAAATGTACACTGGATTGCAATCTAAAGTCTGCTTCTATAAGGGGCTTTCTCAGAAATAAGTTCCACTCAAACTGAACCCAACGGGATTTATATTACTGTATCAAGTGATCCATTTATGACTGCAGGCCAAGAGTCTCTTCTTAACTTACCAGGTGCCACGTGTTTCCTGGTTCACCATGCTGAGGAAGGAGTGTAATTTAACACCTTGCCATCCAGGCGATGAAGCTTCAGTGTGTGACACTACATTCAGTTTCACTGTCTGATGTCTTGGCCAGGGCGTTTATATCTGTCTGCTTGGCCCGTGTGTACTGTCTGGATCTTTTGCTAGGAAGCCCAGCCAAATTCCTGGGCAGAGTTAATAAAGGTGAGAGGTGAGACTGGAGCTGGCCGTATCTGACCCCATTAAGGCAGACATCTCACCCAACTTTGGGGTACTTCTCTGACTTCAGTGCACCTTCTTCCATCTGAGTAAACCACAGCAAGCCAATTTAAATACATGGGCTGTATCAGAACATCCTGTTCCAACACCACTTCATTCAGATTTATTACCTCATAATGCACTTGTAATGGCATGTCTTCAAAAGAGAGGGAAGTCACCTAAGTCTAAGCACTGCTGTAACTCAGAGGAGCACAACTTGAGGGTCTAAGGCAACATACAGCTTTCAAGAGCTTTGGATGCAGCTCACAGAGACCTCTAAATGTGGTTATCAGATTGCATGCTTTAATGTGACCACATGTATTACTCCTGCTTTTGGATACTATAAATGCTCCCTTAGTTATGTCAAAGATAAACAACATTTTCAGCAGGGGAGCTGCACGTTTTCCTTCTATTCTGCCTGAGGGCTGGAGAGGGCATGACCAATGAATCTGGGATATCACTGTATTGGATAAGGCTAAAATTATGGACCTGTTTCCCCCCCATTTTGAAGGCTTGCAATGGCTTTTCAGCAATGAAATTAGTGCCTTAAGCCTTACGGAAGCTTAAAACCTTTCCAAAACTATTTAGGATGTTCAAGAGGATCTACAATTATGTTAAGGCTCTGCCTTAAATCAGTGTGGTATAGTAGTTATGTTGATGGACCTGAAGGAGTTCAAATCCACCTTAGCCCTGAAAGCTCAGTTGATGACTTTGGGCCAGTCAATCTCTCTCAGGCCCAACTTACCTCCCAGGGTCATTCTTGTGGGGAAAATAGGAAGAGGAAGCATTGGGTATACTGCCTGAATTTCTGAATGATAAGCAGGATATAAATGTAATAAACTTATAAATATCACCCCCTCCCCAAAAAAGTCCACTCTGGGAGGGTTTGAGGTGCCAGAAACAGTTTGCAGCCTAAAGGCTGCAGTTTGACCACTTTTATAATAAAGTGAATGTGAATAAATTGCTCCCCAATTTATAGTAAATGCTATTTAAGATACAATTCGTACAACATTCTGAGCTGAAACCAAACAAATTTCAGAACTGGGAAGGAGCCAAGTTAATGCAGTGGCTAGAGTCATATACCACACTAAGCCATTATGTGTGTTGTGTGATTTTGGCTAAGCATATTGAATGGACACAGCTTGTGGTTTGTCAGTCATAGCTTACATATGATGCGTGAATTCTTGTGGCTTATTCAACTAACCATAGTGAAGCAAACCAAGATCAATGGGATATGTGAACTTGGCTAGTGAGATATATGTAGTAGTAGCAATGCATAGGACTAAATAAAGACAAATACATAGAATTACACAGTTGGAAAGGACCATTTAGGCCACTGAGTCAAATTTCCTGCTTCTGAAGGAATCCAAACTGAAACATCCTAGACAGACTGCATTTGTTTATAAATGCTAATTCTGCCTATAATTCTATCTATACTTCTAGGAAGTAAATCCCATTGGGAAAAAAATGTGGCATTAATTAACAGAAGTGGCTTGAGGAAATACCTTCCAAGTGATAGTCCCAATTTATAGTGGCTAGTGGTGTTCAAGAAAAGTCTGTCTCTCAGAGGAAAACCTCAAGCCTTGCTTTATCACCAGAGATCTAAAGTCATGTTTGCCCATGACTCTCAGCCCACTTGTGCATATACTAAAATACCGCTTTGAAATATGAAGGAACTTGTGCCATTGTTTCTCAAAGTGAGTGGTATCAAGCAGGAGAACTGGTGTGTGAAGGTATTGATTTTCCAGGGATTCATAGTATAGATTCAAGCTCCTTTGGAATACAGTATGTATTACTGTATTTTAGTTTTCAAAAGAAAGACCAAGGAGAGAGTGTAGTGACTGTGTTATATTTGCCAGTCTTGTCCATTTTTTAATTCATCCATACAAACGCCAGAGGGTAAGTACTTGTTACAGCATCAAATAATTGCTTGTGAAGCAGAAGTCTTCCGTTCATGAGACCATAATGCCTTTACTTGTGAGAAATGAATGGATTAGAGAACTCCCCACTACTGGTAACCTGCAAATTTCAGCTTTAGAGTTTCATTCTGTAAGAACAGTCCCACCCAGACTTCAGTTTCTTGCTTGAGGTTACAGAATTTTTCATTCCCTGATATTACTTAACCATTGATGAATTGTAATAGCATACATTTTATATCCAGAAGGGGGAGATGTTGCCAAACAGAGAATGAGTATTTAACAGCCCTGAAAACTTGACCTCAGGAAGACACCCACTAGAAATATGGAAAGAAAAGCATGATTGTTTGCATAGTTCTTAAAAGTTTTACCTTTGGCTGCAGGCAGCAACAATGGCTTTCATGACTATATTGTACAAACAAGATGGCTATGTCAAAGTAAGAAGTGTTCATGGTTCTGATCCAGAGATATTTGATGCAATATAATGGCAGTGTTGCTGACTTTGGGCACCTTGTGTCATACTCTCAAAAAGCAACTTACCTTGGCTTTGAGATGCAGACATCTCCTTGCATCCCATCTAAAATATTGTAGTAATGAAAGTAGAATTTAAAGTAAATTCTGAAAGTAGGATTTAAAAAGAGAAAAGAAAAGCCAAAAGCTGAGTACTCTTCATCTCATAGAAAGGCCTGTATTTATTCATACTAATGAATAAATTAGTTGCTGCTATTGATAGATTTGAAGCCCAATTCAATTGTTCAATTCAATTGTTTATCCAGAAGTAAGAATACAGATTATTTCAGCTTTTATAAATATTCTGACACTCTGGGGTGTAAATATGCTAGAGATGTGTAAATTGCTATATTGAGAACTACTGCTTTTTTGTTTTAGGTGTTTTGTTTTTTGTTTTAGGATGACACCAGAATAACTACTTATTTTGGTGTCATCACTTTTTACTAGAGAGATGGTATTTATTACAAAAAAGAAGAGACATTTAGGAACACAAGAGAAAGAAAGGAGGCTCCACCAACAAAAAGGACAGAAAGAACACACATATAGAAGTGGAAAAGATCACAGGAAAGCAAATACCAGGTTGATATGTGCTATTAATATTTTACCAGGAATCCTCCATGACCAAATCCTTGTAAGCAAATAAATGTAAGCAATTCTATATAAACAAACAAATAAATAAACAAATCTCATAGAAATAGTCCTGGGTCTTATTCTAAAACTCCTTCCAGTGCATTAATTGATGAATGATTGGTAAAACTGAAAATTAACCTGTGCACATGTATGCATCTAGGATTTCCTTCATCTTTAGATACACATTTTACCTTCATGGCCTTGTGCTTATCGAGCAACAGCCTTCGGAAGGACAGTTGAGGGAAAGACAGCTGAATAACAAAGTGACTGAGCATGGGGAGGGGGCTTGTGTATATGTCTCTGCCTTTTCCCTCCCCACCACTGCATGCTTTTGCCTGAGAGGCTCTGACATATGTTAAGGCTTGGCTTTGTATTTTTGGGTCCCCCATTCTGCTGTCTGCGGCTGCACTTTGCATGAGAGATTTTCAAATACAAAAATATGAGAGTGGAAGAGCCAATGGTTTCAGGGAAGCATGCAGACGCCTGCATTCCATGGCCCTTTGGTTCAGTTTCTTAATACCACCACTAAGTAACAGGATCTCCTGTGAGAAGGAGAGAATT